TTGGTTTGTCTGTCAATTTCACGTAACTTAGCATGCAAAGGTAAGATATATGTTCTCATTATCTGTTTTTGCAGAATCTCTCAAAATTCTAAGTCTTCCAAAATTTCATTTCATGGGATTTAAGAAAAAGATGGGTTGTACTGCTTGCACGTATACAATGATCGAGAAGGGATGTTTTTCATACTCATCCATATAGTGTACTTCTCTGAATTCTATTGAATTGAACATATTTCATTATAATATATATTCTCGTGTAATGGGATTGGACACAGGTTCAAATTAACACTTGTTACACCCTCTCCCTACATGTACAATCTATAAGTCTGAGTTACTTGTTTAACACAGCTTTTGAAATAAATTCTAACACTTTTTTCTGCTGTACTGTTCATTTCTTTGGTTCTGACACCTGCAATTTTTCAAAGCCCAATACTATAAAGATTTGAATTAAATTTTCAGCAGCCTATCAATATTTGCCTCACTGTTTGTTGAGTTCTTTGAAAGCTAGTTAATGTCGAAACTATTTCCTGTCCATTATTTATTGTACATTGTTTATATTATAAAAAATCTTTCATATTGCAAAAAAGCCTCCCTTGATCATAATCTAGAAAAACGTGTTTGCCTTTATTAGGTCAATAGTTTTTTGTACTTCACGTGATTAGTTTTATTGTCATCCGGGGAATGAGACTTTCTTTGATCATGGCCTTAAGGGCGCTTTTGTTGAATGGCATTGATGATGTAATAATGGCCTTGAGAGAGCTTTTGTCAGTCATTGACGAAATCTTCAAATATTTTTTTAAGCAGCTTGAAGTCAATAACTCTAAGAGAGAGACGTTTTACGCTGAGGTGGAAGGATTGAGAGATTGAAGAGCCAATACTAAATACTATTTTTTTTATTTCATTCACTTAAAAGATTTGCATTGGAAGAACTATACCTATTTTTAAAATGTTAATTAATATACATGTACATATACCTTTCATCGAATTACACCTTATGTTTTTTAGAAAGAGAAATACAAAACTTGCAATGTTGCAACTACATGTACTTTAAAAACACATATATTAAATGACTTTACAATTTTTCATTAACTTTTGTTAATTTTTAAAGCTATATTCTGTCGGTTTATCGACGATCAGTTCTTGGAACTTCAGGCCATGATAACTTCATTAACTTTTCTGCGCACAAACGGAAGAAGAACTGAAGTGATAAAAGTTTTTACCTAGCTCCATAAAATGAGATAATTTAGATTCTGAAACCTGTATTTCTCATAAACCTTATGCTAGAAAAATTATTAAAATTTGCAAATGTAAAAAAAAAATCAATTTCTGTCAATTTTTCATTATTTATGTCACAGCGTCGCAAAGAATGGCATTACAATTAATGGACCGAGTTTAATGTGTTGTCAATTAATGAAATTTAAAGAAATCAAATCGAAATAAGGTAAAAAAAAAATAATCAAAACCATACAAACCCGGAGCATAGAAAACACAGACCTCTTAAAAACACCAGAGGTGGGATCGGGTGCGCATGGAAGGATAAGCAAATTAAAAATTTGTATTCTAACAAATCTACTCACATTTAAAGTATAAGTATCTCCAGAAGTTCAGCAAGTCACCTTAATTTTTCAACTTGCAACATAAAGGCACTGACGCCCAAAGGAAATGAAGAAATGAAAATGAAACTAATACTGCACAGAACTATGTATATTACCCCCATTAAACTTGCAATAAAATCGGCAATCGTGAAAACTCTATTATATACTCACTATGTAGGAAGGATATCTCTATATGTCATCATTATCACTTTGTAAAAAAAAAAAAAGAGGAAAAAAAAGATATTGCCAATTCTCCATTGTCACCAAAACATTGTGAACTTGGTCAATGATGTTCATATTGTTAACAAGGTGCATCATTCCCTTTCATGCACAAAACACATATAAATCAGTTACGCACAAACACACATCAATCAATTAGGCACAAAAAACATATAAATCCATTTCATGGCTTTTCATTTCATTAAGTTTGTTCTTGATTTCTTAATTATATATGAATAATTTATTACCCTGGATAATACATGTATAGTCGTGAGGTTCACCCTAAAGTATGTTCCTTTCTTTAAATCTATAAACTAAGGTTGACTGGCCTTTTTAATATCTGTTGGCTTTTGTATTTCTCATTTGCATCGAGATAACAACAAATTGTAAAGTAACTTTATTTTTCAAGACTTTTATAACCTTAAACACCGGTAATGAAAGATTACGAAGCTCACCTCGACGAATGTTATCAGTTTTAGTAATGCAACTCTCACAAATATTTTTTAATAGTTAGTATTTATCCTGACAATAATATTCGTGCAAGTTCTATTTCAATAGATCTTCAAGTTCATTGGGGATTGACCTGTTCCCAAAACTTAAACCTGGTCACTCATTTGGAAAATGTAGATCACATCCAGCATCAAAAGCAAGTCTTGATTTTCCATCTTCAGTTGCATCATCCATGCAAG